GCACTGAGAATCACCACGAAACTGGCCGAAAATCTGTTCGATTCAAGTATTAGATCAATGATAAGGCATTTATGGGAACCGACGTCGTCCACAAGCCGAGTAAAGTTGACAGTATGAAAGCCAGGCCAATTGTACGCGATCAGACTCAAGACGCTGGACGCTGACATGCTCCACGACTATAGAAACGGGCGAAGGCGTGCGGTTTTCACCAGAAAAAAAGGACAAGCAATGACCGATCCCATAACTTGTTAACCGAAATCCTGAAACGCATTTCCAACTAGGAAGTATTACTTGAGTGTAGCTGTAATACTGATCAACATGCGGCGCAATCTCATAATAATTCAGACACGCCAAAATGTTGGCTTTTGAAAGCACTTGTTTTTGGGCATCTAAAAAGGACTACTTAAGTAGTGTGCACTTTGTCTGGATTTTTGATGAGCCAGTAAATCTGGATGTACTTTATAGAACTCATACACAAACACACATTGGTTTTTGTACCCCTTTGGCAGCAAATCATATTTCCGCAAAAGGTGATACTTAAATGAAGGGTACATTTGGGTGTTTAATACATTTTCCGGTACTCGAAAAGGTTTGCAATCGATGTGCCGTTACATTTACGTTTGGGGCTTTGATGCCACAAGATGCATGCTGTCCATGTATCAAAGGGGTCTGTGCATTTAAAAAAGATACCATATAGTGCCCATAGAATTTTACAATAGATGTGGGATTAGGTTGTACACTTTAGAGAGAGCCTTAATAAACGCACAAATATGACGCTATTTAAGTAGACATTGTAAAGTCTTACAAATCTCACAATACGATTTAAAAAGCCGAAAGATAGCCTTTTTCGAGTAAAAATTTGAAGACGTGATTAGCTATTAATTGGTTACAATAAAGAATGGTTCTGAGCATGTTTTCTGAAAAATTTATTTTCTATCTATTAGGGTATGGAAAATCTGTAGAAAAAAATCACTTAACAAGTGGTTTGTGCAGGACGATGAAAGGAAGTGCATTCAAAAGCCAAAATCCTAGTGCGCCTGAAATATCGAGGGATTATGTCGCATGATAATCGATATTGCGATCCAATTTAAGTAATATTTTCTAACTGCAAACGTGACTAAGAATTACGGTCAACATTTTATGAAATCGGTCACTGACCGCAGATGCCTGCTGCCTGTCTGAAGTCCGAATACCCGATTTCGATTATTGTAAAATAAGGATAACGGGGTTAAACTCCTGAGCGATCCACTCTTTAATTCCGCCACGTATGCCAGCAGCCTACGGTCGTCTGTTTTGATGACCTCGCCGCTGCGTTCGATTCTGTCCATCGTGAACCCAAGGTGGCGGATAATGGAAGTAGATGGTATGTCTGCGCAAAAATTATCGTCATAGGCAGGACCTCACACCGTTACATCACTGCGTGAGTTCTGGGCCACAACGGTCTCTCAGTCATTAGATATTCGAGCTGGCGTTCGCCAAGTTTGGATTCTGTCATCTATTGTGTTCAACTACGTCGCTGATTACTTTCTCAGATGGCTTTGAAGGCGTTAAAGTTGCGCCCGTCCGGAAGCTAACTGCTCTCGACTAGGCTGACAATGTCACACCTCAGGAGTGACGTAAAATCTCCATTCAAAGACTGTCAAAGAACAAGAGTAGGAGAAAAAAGGGCAACCCGAAAGGAAGCAAGTAAAAATAAGCAGACAATGTCGTATTTTACCTGGTAGATATCGCCCTCTTTGGTGCAATTTACGACGTCCAAACCCTGCGGAACGTGGATAAGATCGCTCTTCAGCATTAAAACCGTCTGACAGTGTTCAGCCATGTGGTTTATCGCCTTGTTCGTTCCACCGACCAGGATTACCTCTTGCGGCCGCAGACCAGTGATAATTTTTTTCAGGGCTTCCCCATCCGAACGACTCTAATGGATGGAAAAGAATAGTCGCTTACAACATGAAGTCACCTACAAAAATGGCAGTATATTTTAGTCATTGGGCTTGGACGTTACGGTCGATTGACATAATGAAGCGCGGTATGCACAAGTCAGAGCGATAAACGCAGTGGACAGAGTGTAAGGACTAAATTTAAATTGAGTTCGGACGTTTATTTTCAAGTAATCAAGACTCGCGCTGATTCACACCCGCAACGCCTGAGGGGGTGTTAATTGATTTTAAAAGTTTGGTCAGTGGGCACGATAACGACATCCCGAAAGTGAGTGCAGGAGTCAAAGGATAAAGCAACCAGAACAGAGCTGCTGTATCGATACAGGAAAAATCCTGTTGGTTCAATCCCACTTAAGACGATTTTTACCGGTTTTTTATTTGGACAATAAAGTGAAAATAAAGGGCAAAGACCTATGACGGGACTGCATTTGACGTTTTTTGGATATATACAGACAACAGGTAATTCTGCAAAATATAATGCCAAGAGAATTGAATGACGTCGAGCTTTTGAGTCGCTGCTACGG